AGCCTTCCTGTAATTGAGGGCTGACTGGGCAGCCTAGAGAATCTGAACTCACCAGTGGGCAAGATGTTTCACATTGAACTGTTTCACAATGCACGATATTTTCCATAGTCACTGGATCTTTCTCAGAACTGCAGGTACATTTCTGACATGAGTTAATTATTGTTGACATTCCAACCTGGAAGACAGAAAAAAAAAAAAAATCAAATGGAAACAGTTTCCATATAATGTATAGGCAGAGTTAGAAGCATTGCTGAAAACCATTAAGGTTGTTGAAATGCAAGTGCGACTGAGTTGTTCAACTCGCTTCAAACGTAATGAAGTTGTTTGGCTTTATGCCTTACAAGAAAACACACATGAGGATGAAACTAAATGAAGCAACATAAAAGAGAAAAGTAAACTAATAAAATGCAGGTAGGACTGGTTTGTACTGCCTCATTATTTTACCAGCTTTTCAATATTCCATTTAAGAATTTTTTCCCTTGTAATTCATGTTTAGTGGTTATAAAAGAATTATAATTTACAAATGGAGATTAAAATAATTGGATACATATGCAGATACATAAGCAGAGATACAAATTTACACATGGATTTTAGTCTTTCTGAAATGTATCCCTAAAAGGCTCCAGTTCTAATGTTTTATATTTTACTAAATGACATAAGCACCAATTTTAGCAAAAGATTTACGTATCAATTTAAGCAAAAATCCTAGCTTTATTTTTGAAGGTTCTCTGGGCTTATTTCAAAGAATCATAAAGTTTTGGCTATTCATCAGCTCATTTGGAAAATTCATTAATTCCAGAAGCGGGAGAGAGCTTAAAAAGAAAGTACATCACTACAAATGGTACACTCTTGTTTTACACTATTCTGTGACAATTACGTCTTTGACATTAGAAAAAAAAAAACAAACCACCTTTCAATTAAGGGCTAGAGATACAACAGCATGTACTGGGAAAAGAACTTTCAAAGGCTTATTTTGGTAGAAAGGGTGTACGTTTCACTTCCAGCAGTATACCACTGTAAGTATAATATTCTCACCGTGTACATTGTACCATTAATCACACAGGTATCAGGTATTTGTCCTGAAAAAAAAAAAATTCCAGTATAAGCTCAAATTGTGAGACTCCCTGAGAAGTCAAGATGTTATGGAGGTTTGTTAGGAACACAGGGATTATGGAAAACTTGAATTCAATCCCCCCTACATGCTTAGACCTCATATTTATTATAGCTGGATGTTTAAGTAAAGTTTCATCTTTGAAATTGGCTAGAAGAGTTGAGGAGGAATGGCTTCAAACTCGAGCTATGCCTGAAAAGTCCCTTTTTCGTCCTTTTGTTATCAGGTTCACTTCAAATTACAGAACCACAGAATCCCAGAATGGCAAGGGTTGGAAGGGACCTCAGGAGATCATGTAGTCCAACCCTCTTGCTAAAGCAGGTTCACCTAGAGCAGGTTGCCCAGGACATCGTCCAAATTAAATTAGTTTTCTCTTTGAACCCTAGAAGTCCAGTAACCTTCAAAGATGCCTTTGTTATTGATTCTTTATGACCTCTCAGAACATGGCTTAGATGGAAGATTGACTCTGAGTGGAAAGCGGGTATTCTTACCATGGTCATATTAATAATTTGACTACATGGCAGAGCCCATTCATGTCTTTCACAGAACTACTGAAAGGAACCTGGCTGTTCCTTTGTTTTGATTTTCCTGTTTTGGGCTTAATTTATGGCTACCTTTTTCTTTTTATTCTTTTGTATAAATATATGTGTATAAAAATATATGCATATAAAATTTATGTATATAAACAAACATATATAACTTGGATTTTTAAATTTTCATGAGCATTCAACAACAGTGTAAGTATAATTATTATTTTTCATACATCGACAATTCAGTTACTGATTGCAATTCACTGTGTATTATTGCTTCGTGTTACTTGTTTTTGTAGTTAACCATTAAGCTTTCTTCTGGCTTATTCTTAGGTTTATGCATCTTAGTTTAGCTACACTTAGGCTAGTTTTAATGTGCTCCAATGCTACATTAATAACATTAAGTAAAATGCATCAATAACCTTTATGATTACAGATACAGAGATAGTTGAGCTACATAGACCACTTGAAGGTTCAAAGTATTATCCTGCTCTCCCACCCATGCCAATTCTTTCTGAAAACGTCATTGAAAAAAAAATCAGCTTTTAAATAAACTTCTACTGCATATGCATGTTTGCTGAGCCACAACAATTTAAGGAAGGCGTTGCTAGTTTTGCGATACAGGAGGAACTTGCTTAGATGTTAACAGAAGTGCAAATTCAATTTACTAGAGTGTGTAGCCTGGTGTGTGAATATATGTATATTGAATACTTACGGCATTCAAGTTCAGGACAACATGGGTCTTTCAGTGGTACTACAGGCACGGAAAAAAATCCTAGGTCACAAGTTGGTGTCTGAACTGTTTGGCATAGGAGTGGCTTGCATTGTACTGTAGTAGTGAGGGCGTCACAGACACACATCTGGCATTAGGGACCTCAGGAGATCATGTAGTCCAACCCTCTTGCTAAAGCAGGTTCACCTAGAGCAGGTTGCCCAGGACATCGTCCAAATTAAATTAGTTTTCTCTTTGAACCCTAGAAGTCCAGTAACCTTCAAAGATGCCTTTGTTATTGATTCTTTATGACCTCTCAGAACATGGCTTAGATGGAAGATTGACTCTGAGTGGAAAGCGGGTATTCTTACCATGGTCATATTAATAATTTGACTACATGGCAGAGCCCATTCATGTCTTTCACAGAACTACTGAAAGGAACCTGGCTGTTCCTTTGTTTTGATTTTCCTGTTTTGGGCTTAATTTATGGCTACCTTTTTCTTTTTATTCTTTTGTATAAATATATGTGTATAAAAATATATGCATATAAAATTTATGTATATAAACAAACATATATAACTTGGATTTTTAAATTTTCATGAGCATTCAACAACAGTGTAAGTATAATTATTATTTTTCATACATCGACAATTCAGTTACTGATTGCAATTCACTGTGTATTATTGCTTCGTGTTACTTGTTTTTGTAGTTAACCATTAAGCTTTCTTCTGGCTTATTCTTAGGTTTATGCATCTTAGTTTAGCTACACTTAGGCTAGTTTTAATGTGCTCCAATGCTACATTAATAACATTAAGTAAAATGCATCAATAACCTTTATGATTACAGATACAGAGATAGTTGAGCTACATAGACCACTTGAAGGTTCAAAGTATTATCCTGCTCTCCCACCCATGCCAATTCTCTCTGCAAACGTCATTGAAAAAAAAATTAGCTTTTAAATAAACTTCTACTGCATATGCATGTTTGCTGAGCCACAACAATTTAAGGAAGGCGTTGCTAGTTTTGCGATACAGGAGGAACTTGCTTAGATGTTAACAGAAGTGCAAATTCAATTTACTAGAGTGTGTAGCCTGGTGTGTGAATATATGTATATTGAATACTTACGGCATTCAAGTTCAGGACAACATGGGTCTTTCAGTGGTACTACAGGCACGGAAAAAAATCCTAGGTCACAAGTTGGTGTCTGAACTGTTTGGCATAGGAGTGGCTTGCATTGTACTGTAGTAGTGAGGGCGTCACAGACACACATCTGGCATTCACTTATCCACGTCTCTCCAGGCTGAAAATATATAAATGATTTATTCGTAAGTGCTCTCTCACCCTAATTATTCTGGATCACCTTGAGATAGATTCTCAAAATTGGTAGGGAGTTCAGATTAGAGTTTTCTTAGCATATGATTTCAGGCCTCAAGAGCAGGCAAGCTGAGAACAATCACAGAATTTTCTTCTGTGTTGAAGGAATGAGATTTTAGCCTTTCATAGCTGGTCTACTTATTTCTATGACATTTAAGTGTCTTTTACAAAAAAAAAGTCTCCACCATTAGTGCGGTCTGCATTAGTCTCTATTAGTGAGCTTTTCCATCTCCAGATTACTTAAAAACCTGGTAATGCCAGGTGGAAGAACTGTGAGCTATAAAGTCATTTGTAACATGGCCAACTTCATTATTGAAATACATAAAAGTTGATTGATTTGGTTATTAGAGGAGAGAAATTTGGCTGGTTTTGCAATGATGATAGATTAGAACATAATGAGGGGAACCACCTTTCGTGGAGGACTGACATCAGTGCAGTTTTTTTCTGCTGAAGTTGTGAGGGATGTTGCTGTAGTTGGTGAGACAGAAGGAAATACACGTCCTGTGGATGAGGCAGCTTGTGTTGTAGTTTCTGAGCCGACTGAAGTGAAAGGAGTTGTCGAAGGACACGGTCCCATAAATGGCTGAACTTCGCATTCCGTGCTGCAGAGTGCATAAAAATTACAGCCAGCCCTATCTGTTCTGTTGTATACCACTTCCCCTGTAGAGAAAAATTGGAGGAGAAATTAAAAGACCAATGAAAATACTTAGGGGGAAAAAAAAAAATATTGTGAAAATATAAAGTGTATTCATCTACAAAAAGCTCTGTCTTTAGATGAATTTGAGGGGTTATCTTTAATTGAATAAAGCATTAAACGTTTATATTGCTTATGAAAATATTTATAACCATAAAATAAGACACTTACCAGGAGAAAAAATATTACCAAGCACGCGACAAAAACATGGAGTTGTTCTGCTTGATATAGTGTCTGTACTTGCTCCCATTGTGACAGGTGTGCTGGGGGGAAAACTGAAGATTGCAGGAGTGCTTATTGTAGCATGACTTGATTGTGAAGTACCAGTTGTCACTACTGTTGAGCACAAGACATGTTTTAGTTTGCAGCACAGAATTTTCTTCTCATAATTTCAACATATTGGAGAGGACTGTTCAACATTCCAGCAAATCAAGCCAACATTTTTGTTGCATTCAACTATTTGACATACTGCTAAGTGGAGATGGCGGAAATCTTTTAGCTCTACGCTGAATATCATCTGGGATTTTGCAAATCTTATGACATTTAGATCTGATGTTTTCAAAAGTTTCATAGTTGCCACCATCTCCACTGAGCACAGGATAAGTAATATCAAGCTACGGGGTACACTCACACACTTGTCTAACACAGATACTAGTAGCAGAGGGACAGGTAGAGCAAAAAGGTGGTTTATATGTTGGAAGAAATAGGGATGACAGTGGAAGAAGTCACAGTACACAATGATACCAACATAGTTCTACTGAAATACCTGTTTCTAACTTTTCCAGAGGTAAACAATGACATACCTGGGCTGCTTGTGGTAGACAAACTTGTGGGAAAAATAGTGGTGACAGTACTTTGTCCAGTAGAAGAAACAGATGTGGGAAAAAACTCTGTACTGCCTCTGGTGCTAGACTGGGTGGAGGCAGTAGTGGGCGATCTTGGAGCCTGTGTTGTCACAGCAGAGGTTTCTGCTGGAGCAGATGTGGCTGTGGACTTTGTGGTGCTTTCTTCAGTGGTACTGGCAGTGCTCCTGGCTGAGGTGGGCACTGTTGGTGTGATGATGGTTGTGCCTTCTATCAGAGGGGGAGAGGTCCTGGTGGTGCTGGGCCTGCTAGTGGGTGTGATGATGGTTGTGCCTTGTGGTGACGGGGCTGTGGTACTGGGGACAACCATTGTGCCAGTGGTGGTTGTCGTTGCTGTCTGGGGCAGGGTGAAGGCAGCAGAGGTTGATGTTGCAGCCCGTGTTGTCACAGTGGAGGTTTCTGCTGGAGCAGACGTGGCTGTGGACCTTATGGTGCTTTCTTCAGTGGTCCTGGCAGTGCTCCTGGCTGAGGTGGGCACTATTGGTGTGGGTGTGATGGTGGTCGTTCCTTGTGGTAGAGGGGCGGTGGTCTTGGCGGTGCTGGCTGTGCTGGTGGTGGTGATGATGGTTGTGCCTTGCGTTGGTGGAGCCGTGGTACTGGGGACAACCGTGGTGCCAGTGGTGGTTGTCCGTGACGACTGGGGGAGGGTGGAGGCAGCAGTGGGTGGTGCTGGAGTTTGGGTTGCTGTGGTGGAGGTTTCTGCAGGAGAGGCTGTGGTGGAGGAGCCTGCAGTGGTGCTTGGCAGTGCTGGTGTTGTCTGGCAGTGTTGACGGTCACAGCACAGCACCTTGATCTCGTAGTCAAAGCACATGGGGTATTTTTTGATCTGATCCCTATTTCTGCAGACAAGCCCGGTGTCCAGGCTGCACTCAAATTGCTGTCCCAGTTGTTCCCGAGTCCTGGCAGGATAATCTTTAGCACGGCACTCAATGTCCTCTGGCTTGTCACACAGAGCATTCCCAGCGGCTCGGATTTTTGCAAACGTCTCTATGTCTCCATTTTGGCTACCAGGCGTAGGGGAATCCAAGTCAAACCACTTGGTCCAGGCACAACGTGGCTGGCAGCTGTAGGTGGTCTTGGAGGTGCTGGCAGCGGTGGTGGCTGCTGAGGTGGGCACTGTTGGTGTGGGTGTGATGGTGGTCGTTCCTTGTGGTAGAGGGGCGGTGGTCTTGGCGGTGCTGGCTGTGCTGGTGGTGGTGATGATG